TTATAGTGCGAATGACCTCACTCATGGTTGTTCAGGTGAAATCAAGTCAGGTCCTATAACATTGTGATTTTATCATTATCCCGTTATCAACGTATTTACGACAGAGTGATGAATTTACTTCCGGTTTGCATGAATATATCGGGAACTCTAATAATACTAGCATAATTCAACGAATTGTTTTTACGTTATTATTATAGTATATTTGTGCATATTCCGAAGTATATTTCGATAATTATTCGCCTTCTTTATAGATATATTTTTTCTTTAATTATTCATGTTCATTTATTGGTAATTTGATTATTTAATTTCTAGATTATTGTATACTTGTTTTTTCGCAATATTTAATTTTACATATACTAGCCCTTGCTATTTTTAACGTATGTCCGCATAACGACCTCATTTGACCATACTCAGGTCGAAGGTACTTATAGCCATCTGACTCTGCTAGACCCAAAAATACATTCAAGCTATTTGTATTTATATCTTATTTAGTGATCTCCGTGTTAGAGATTAATTATATTAAACAGCTACTACGATTTCATATTGTTCGTGATTTTCGTTTATCTTAATCACGAACCTCACCTCATCATTATTACATGGTCCTTGGTGACGACCCACAGCTGGGTATGGACATGTTATTAGGTTTAGGTAATTAATGTTAAGTCGTTCTTGTGCCACGCAGCACACCTATCGCCTAGGCGATCTCAGCGCCACGCGCCTTCTTATACGACTATACGTGAGAGATTATCGCTGGTATTTCCCAACAAGACGGGATGCCCAATTGCGTTCTGCGTATGAGTTCGTTCGATGATATCCCTTCTACGGTTGGGCCCATCATCACTATTCCTCAGGGAATCTATCTTAAGTTTAAGTACCATTTACAACCACGAGGGTTGTCTTTCGGGTCAGTTGTCTCAGGGAAGCTGACCCAAACCAGTCACCGTTTCATTCATTTTATGTACTAATTAAAGTACCATTTTTATGATTTCAAATAGTAGTTGATTAATATTGCAATTAACGTAAGTTATTTTGTTATTAGCGTTAATGTTTTTTTTCGTGCAGTCAGATCGGTGATTATTTTCATTAAGCGCAATCCACATTGACATACCTAACCCCACCCCCCTTAGCCTCCCGCCCACCCACTCCTCCTCCCCTTCGCTTATTTCTTCCAACTTCCACGCCACCCTATTCCTTTTTTACTCACTCTCGCCTTACTTATTAAAAAATCTATCAGCATTCTATTTTCTACTCGTGTGCTATACTCTGACTCATTCATTTCATAACTCGCACCCATTAACTCAACTCGTCTGTCTACGCACTCACGCAGCCACATGCGCACATCGTCCCGCAAAAAACAGTTAATTGCATAAGAATTACATGCGTACTGTTTCCGACTTGCGCCAACCGTGTATTCTTATCTTGCATTACGTTTTTCCGTGCAAATGTTGTCTTGAGAAAGTATATTTTGATGTAATGAGTCGCTCCCGAAGTATGAGGACTGCATTACCTGTTTTCATTATTGCTTTGCCTCAAATTGCTGTTGGTGACGTGTGATAGACAACTTCAATGAAATGAGATACAATCACTATTAGTCAGACGTATAGCGTATGCATTATTGCACTGCACACTTCTGAACTCTGCATTGTTGCATTTTTTTTTCCCAAGGAAGTTCGTCGTTCAAGACAAGTCCTTGCGGACTGCGACACCTTTTGCTTCCTTTGTAGTTTTGCACAATGCTTATCTCTTGTAGATTTTCATTTCCTGCTATCTGAGACAATTGCAACTCAAGCAAGTCTTCGCGGACTATTGTAATTGTCTCCCTAAGCATGTTCCTCTGTCTATCTTTGGACAGTGCATTATTGAAAAATAATTGAAAAATCATGCAAATAATGGAATCAACACTGACATTGCAATCTGATAATATTTTGAGTATATCTTAAGGCCCTTGCTATTACACCAAATCAAGGCAACACAAAAAAACCCTGACAGAGAGAGAGAGAGAAAGAGGAAGAGAGAGAGAAGGAGAAAGAGAAAGAGGGAGAGAGAGAGAGAGAAGGAGAAAGAGAGAGAGAGAGAGAAAGAGAAAGAGGAAGAAAGAGAGAGAGAGAGAGAGCGGGAGGGGGGGGGGGGGGAGGCGTGAACAAACAAACAGAAAGACAAGTGGTGCCAACAGAAAATGACCTTGTAAAGGCGCGAATCATGCTTACGAGTCCCAACTAATCTACAGATACCGAGAGCTTATGCAATGACATCATGATTAAATAAGAGAATAAATGGATACGCTCTTATTAGAGTTAAACTGAAGGAATGGAGCATGAAGCCAAGATTTTCTTGCTTAAAGGTATGAACATAATCTACAGGAGAGACTTTCTACTATTTTTAGCATTGCTGCCTAAAGTTGACGCCCTCTCGAGAAGTATGCACATGCATGTATATTTATATGACACCATTACTACTTCTGTTACTACTGCTGTTAACGACAATCATGATGATGATGAAA